TACAATGAATAACTATTAAGAAAACAGCATGAAACATATTAATTATTGAAACTGTCCTACTAATCAGTTTTGAAACTGTCTCATTGCTATTTATTTCTCAAAATTATTTTTTAAAAAGGAAAATAGAAAAAATTCTCTTGTTCTTGGATGGGAAGAATAAAATAGTGAAAATGATCATACTCCCAAAACTGCTATACAGATTTAATGCCAATCCAATCAAAATACCATTAGTATACCTCACAAGTATAGAGAAAAAATTACTAAGATTTATTTGAAATAAGAAGAGACCTAGAATAGAAAAAGCAATTCTAGCAAACGAAGGTAAAACAGGGGTATCACAATCACAGGCCTGAATTATACTACAAACCTGCTGTGATAAAATCAGCATGGTACTAGCAAAATAATAGGTCTCAGGATCAGTGGAACAGAATAAAAATGCAGAAGCAACTACAAACATACCCAGCCACCTTATCTTTAACAAAGAAGCCAAACATGTTCACTGGAAGAAAGATTGTCTCTTTAATAAATAGTGCTGGAGGGCTGGTGAGATGGCTCAGTGGTCTAAAGCACCTACTTAGAACAAACTAAAAGCACAGGGACCGCGGTTCAATCCCCAGCACCACATGCCAGCCAGCCCCGCCCCATGGTGGGCTGAGCTGGCCACACACACACACACACACACACACACACAAATAAATATTAAATAAATAAATAAATAAAAGAGTTTTTAAAAATAAATAAATAAATAAATAGTGCTGGAAAAACTGGCTTTCCACATGCCTAAGACTACAACTACACTCACATCTATCACCATGCCCTAAATTAATGTCAAAATGAATCAAAGATCTAAATAGTACATAGAAACAACAAATTTCCTGGAAAGAAAGTACGTATAAGTCTTGAAGACATAGGTGTAGGAAGAAACCTCATGAACAAAACCCAGACTACATGGGAAATACTACAAAGATTCAACAAATGGGATCTCACCTTATTAAAAAGCTTTTGCACAATGAAAGAAATACCAACAGAGTAAAAAAAAATCACCAAAAGAATGAAAAGACAACCCACAGAGTGGGAAAAAATTTATAGCCAGTTGCCCTTCAAAGGAGCTATATATAGAACATACAAAGAATTTTTTTTAAATCAGAACCACCCATTCAAAGATCCAATTCAAACTGGGCACCTGAGATGAATATGCACTTCTCAAATTAATAAATACAAATGGCAAACAAATACATAAAAAATGTTCAACATCATTGGTCATTGGAGACATACAAATTAAAACAATCCTGAGATTCCATCTCACCCCAGAAAGAATAGTTATCATTAAAAAAAATCACTGATAACAAATGCTAGAGGGATTACAAGGAAAAGGAAAAATTCTCCATTATTGGTGGGAGTGTAGACTGGTACAAACACTGTGGAATTCAGTGTGGCGAGTCCTCCAGAAACTAAGATTAGAAGTCCCTTTTAACCCAGATATTCCTCTTCTGAGTATCTTCCCATAAGAATTTAAAATACCATATCACAGCAACAAGGGTGCACTCATGTTTTCAGCAGCACAATTTGTAATAGCTAAATCTGGGAAACAACCCAAATGCATCTGAACTGAGGAACAGATTAAAAAAAGAGGGGCCAAGGAGATGGCTCAGTGGAATAAGCACTTCCCTGCCACCGCAAGGACCTGAGTTCAATCCCCAGTTCCACCAAAAAAAAAAAAAAAAATTAAAAAAATGTGTTTTTTTAAATATAGTGGAATACTACTTAGTCATAAGAAAGGATGAACTTGAGATTTGTATAGGTAAATGGACACAGCTAGAGACCACACTCATAAGTGAGATAAATCAGACTCACATGTGTAAACATCATATTGTCTTACTAGTGTGAGAAACTGAATGAGTAAATAAGACCCAACATGTACAATAGAGATTTGGGTATAAGGAAGAAAATGTCCAAAAAGAAAAGAAAAACTGTGATGAGACAATGGTGAAAAGAAGGAAGAGGGAAAATATGTGACAGGTAAGATAGTTATACAGCTAGTATCTCTTAGTTCACTATTTGAATAACATTGCAGGCTTATATCTTGTCCTCTCAATAACTACTACAAGAGCAATATGCAATGTATTAATTATTGTAATTCTCCTAATAACCTGTTTTGAAACACTGTTTTATTGTTATTGTTATTGCTTTAGTTTTTTCTCTTTAAAATAAAAAATATAAACACTGTTAAGAAGAATGGATATGCACATGTATAAGAATGAATGCCAATTTCATTTCTTTTTGGTATATACTGTGTAATAGGATTGCTGGTTCATACAAGTATAATAGTTCCACTTTAAATTTTTGGAGGAACCTTCTATAATGGCTATACTAATATTTAAATATTTAAATGTAAAACCTGAAGTTATAAAACTGTTAGATGAAAATGGGAAGGCTGGGCATTGTGGTGCAGGCCTGTAATCCCAGCACATAAGAATTAGAGGAAGGAGAATTACTGTGAGTTCAAGACCAACCTGGGCTACAAAGTGAGCTGAAGGCCAACCTGAACTATATAGTAAGATCCTGTCTCAAAAAGAAAGACAGTGGGGCTGGGGAGATGGCTCAGTGGAATAAGTGCTTCCCAGGCAAGTGCAAGGGCCTGAGTTCAATCCCTGATTCCAGAACAAAAAGAAAAAAGAAAGAGAGAGGGATGGAGGGAGAGAGTGGGGAGGGAGGGAGGGAGAGAGAGAGAGAGAGAGAGAGAGAGAGAGAGAGAGAGGCTTCATTAATAAGTCTATGTGCACATTACTGTGATTTTATAAACAACCTAAAATCATACCATAACACTAGGTTTCATTGTTTGTTTTTTAGACATGACTCTAAAAATACTGGAAACATAAGCAAAATTAGAAAAAATTATATTGCATTAAAGTGCTTCAAAGTTATACAGCAAAACAATTAACCAACAAAGTAATGAGATATCGAGTTAGATAAATATATTTATAAGCCATTCACTTAGTAAGAGGATATTTGGGATTGTACAGAATTTGGCTCTAATAATAATATAAAAAATACCCATTTGAAAAATTGGCCAAGGGGCTGGGGACAGAGCTCCTTGTTCTAAGCGTCTTCCTGCCAAGTGCAGGGACCTGGGTTTGATTACTGGCACTGCATATTGCACCAGCCCCACCCCAGGCACGCCAAGCAGGTCACCCAAACTGGGTATGGTGGCACACACCTGTAATCCCAGTGCTGGGGAGGCTGAAACAGAAGGATCACTACGTGTCTGACCTGCATAGTGAAACCTTGTAATGAACACTAAAATAAAATAGTAGGCCAACTATCTCATAGACAGCTCCCCCTAAAGACACCAATGACCAAAAAAGATGTTAAACATCTCTAACCACCAGAGTGTCAACCCAGACCTGAGAGAGACCTTTATGCTGCCTCCATACAGAATCCAAGGGCCTCCAGCAAATAGGAATTGATGGCCATAAAGAAAGTTAGGAATGGACCTGCATTCTGCCTGATGCCAGAAGACCCAGCTTTATATGCACAACTGTGCTAACCACCCTCACAGATTTGACCTCAAACATTCCCTCCAGATTCCTTAGGACTATGGCCTCCAGCCTAAAACCCTAAATATATATAGCTTCCCTTCCAGGTATTCACTGGTACCATTCCCATTTCACGCACCTGTGGTTAGACAGAATGAAGTCTAGTCTTTCCCACAGTCTCAGTCTCCAGGTGTTTCCTAGCACACCATTAATTAACACAGGAAAATGCAAACTAAATTCACCACAAGTTATCTAATGCATATCAAATTTAACACATGTTAAAATCAGTATTGTCAAAAAGACAAAAGTAATAAATATTGACAAAGGTGTGCAGAAAAGCAAACCTTTGTATTCTACTGGGAATATAAATTAGCCATTACAGAAGGTTCCTCCAAAAATTTAAAGTGGAACTATTATACTTGTATAAACTAGCAATCCTATTACTCAGTATACACCAAAAAGAAATGAAATTGGCATACTGACGACTATCTACTATACTACTAGTTCACTGCAGCATTATGCAAAATAGTCAAGATAAAGAATTAATCAGTAGTCATCAATGGACGAATGGCTATTGAAACTGCGGTACACATACATAGTGAAACAGTATTCCAACCTTAAAAAGAAACCTGTGGGGCCAGCAAGATAGCTCAGCAGACTAAAGTGCTTGCTTAGGCAGAGCGTAGTGGCTGGGGTTCAATCCCCATGCTCTGTGCCGGCCCTGCCCCAAGGATGTGCTGAGACCTAGACTGAGGTTGAGACTGCATGCACCTGTAATCCCAGCACTTGGGAGGCTGAAAACAGGAGAATCACCACTAACAACTGAACTGTACAGCACAGGATTGTTCTCCGAGTACATAAATAAGATGTTAACTAAATCCTGTTCTTACCTTGTAGTCTCTCAAAGAAACAGTTTTGTCATTGAGCTAACTCAAACATATTAACAAAGGGCAGATGGTCTGCACAACAGAACTATATCATTCATCACTGTAGATGACAAGTGTGGCTTGGGTGACAGCAATAATAGTGTAACAAGAGTGTAAGTGTACTATCCTCCAATTCAAGTATTGAAGCCCATGGACAACTATGAAACATGAAATTCCAACCTTCCTGATTAATATGAAAAGTGTTTTTGCAGATGTACTTAAGCTCTATGGATTTAAAAGGTCCTTTTCTTCACTCATGTGTTTTTAGATAAAATACATCCCACTTTTTCTTTTTAGTATTTAAGAATTATGACAGTCAAAACTTGTGCTAGAATTATGTAAGCAAATCTTTGGAAGTTTCCAAAGTTGGACTACAATTATACTAAATACATATCTACATGAAAAGATGACTGGAATATCAATTTTAAAATGTACAGATTTATACTGGGCAGATTAATTATTTTTCCATTTTGTAACATTGTTTTACCCTTGGTAGCATGTAAATCCAAGGAAAAGCATGTCAAGGTCAGGTACTTACTGTGGTTGGAAAATAACGGCTGGTTTTGAATTTTTTCAGAGCCATGGAGGAGGCATAGGTGCCCAAGAACAGGATGCAAGACATGAGAGTGACATCAGGAACAAAATTACAGTTGTTCCCCACGAGCTTCCCTCCATATTTCAAGCACTCCTTCTTTGATAAATATGCCCAGTCAAAGGTTGCATTATGGTACTGAAGAAGAAAAAGAATTAGATTTTTTTAGAGAACACTGATATATCAAAAGCAGCTTTTTATACCTGATGAGTTCTGTAGGGATTATAAGAACATTTCTGTGAAATTGTCTGAGGGTAACCACTGGAGGATGAAACTTGAGGAGCCAGTACTCTAATAGCAGTATTGGTGGGCTAGCAATTATAGAAATCACAATGAGAATGATGCAATCTGTTACTGCCAGGGCTGCCACCTTACAATCACCCATCTGTTTCACAGAAACAAAGCACTAAGTCTTTCCTTGACAGCTATCCTGAAAGTAAAGTGAGACACTATCTCAAAATGTGAAACTCTGAAATGCCTTTAATGTTCAAAAAGTAATCACTTGTAGAGCACAGATTTTTATGCTTCTACCCAATGGCCCTACCCAGAACTTTCACAAATATGCTATTTGTTTTCTAAGTAAAAAAAGGTTAGTGAGTGAAGGAATTAAATTATAACAATAAGAATGGCCTCATCGTGCTGGGGAAATAGCCTGCCTGGCAAGCACAAGGACCTGAGTTTGATCCCTGGTACTGCATGTCATGCCAGCACCAGAACCTTAGTTGCACTTTTCCAACCCCAAAACTGGGCATGGTGGTGCATGCCTGTAATCTCAGCACTGGGAAGGATGAGACAGGAGGATCGCTATGAGTCCAAGCTTCATGGTGAGACCTTGTATCAAATTAATTAATTATTTATTTTTAAAAAAGGAATGGCCTCATCAACACATTGTCTCACTAACTGCCTATTCAAAAATAGTTTTTGCCCCTTTTCACTCCAGATGAGCATTGTGCTGTCCATTACTGGAATGGCTGTGATGCCCCTAAGGTTGTGGGGCTGTGTAAAGAACATGCATCCTTATGCCACATTGGTCTCAAGAATCTAGGTCAGGCGAACATGATAACCACTACACTAGATCTTGCTTTATCTTCGTCTTAACCATCTAGCAGAAAAGTATAAAAATGAAGTACAAGAAGTAAAGCCATGCTGTTATGTTGAGCTATAGGGGATTCAGGTCAACAATTTCTGACACTGCCAGTCAAGCGGAAGACCCAATACTATTATGGACCTCTGAACTCTTTTAGAATATTTTGCTGAGTTAACACACCTATAATGACGGAACTAAACAAAAAAGGGAATATATAAATGAATGTCCATTTTGTATCTGTGTATTCAAAATGGTTAGGATAGATATATAGTTACATTCTCTTAATGAATAGAGGGATTTGTTCTAATAGTGTTTGTAAATAGGATATCATGTCTGCATCTTGTACAGCAATTAACCACTAGGAAGACAGTATGCAACTGAAACCATCCTACCAATTTGGTTTGAAACTGTCTCATTGGTATTTGTCTGTCAATAAAATTATGGGAAAAAAAAGAATCTAGGTCAGCTTCATGGGGTGCTACTATGCCAGTGCTATGCTTTTCTCTATCAGCTTATTCTTCCTATTTTCTGTTTCTAACAAACCAAGAATCTTTCTTTGTTGGCCTGCTGTCTGTGGTCGGTGCACCTCCCCAGGGGCTCTGAATACCAGCTGCTCTCAGTACACTGCTGGCCCCTTCTCTAGAGAACTGCCATATGCTCCATACAATCTGCCTTACAAAGCATGTTACACCTGTAACAGCCAGTTACCAAACAATGCTAATGGCAATATAAACTACCCTGCTCCATCTCGAAGTAGGAGCACCTGGGAGGCACAATTTAACCTCCAGCGCTCCACAGAGAATTAGTCCCACACTAACACAGCTAGACCACATTCTTATTTAATTCTTTCCCAGTCCTAAACTGCTTCTGTTTTTAGTGAGACCACACTCAACTAATTATATGCACATGAAATTCCTGTATCAGACTCTGCTTCTAAATCAGCCAATTTACTTGAATTACAGGTAACCTAAAGTTAATGGTCTCTAACCCTATGGTACTTTTGTAGAATAGCAGAATTTGGAGGAGCCCCAGATACAACATCATCAGATTTCTCAGCTTTGATATTGCAGAGGCCTGAAAGATGGATATATCCCCTGCATGAATCTTCTGTGAAGAGCAGTTTCTTGGTAGCTCATTATCTTTCTTAACAAAAATTCCCCAGGGGTATTGCTTATTTTGAGCCTTCTTAAATAATTACAGCTTAAATTTCTTTTGCTATACAGAGAATTTTGTGTACTATAACCATTATGGCTATTCATGGGGAGAGATTTTCAAAATTGTACTTGTCTAAATGAATGTCAATGTGACAGGGTAGAAGGGGTTGTCTCCATTTAGAAAATATCCTAACTACCTGTAACTTCTATCCTTGAGAATAGGGTGGAGTATATCAGGTACTAACAGAAGATATATTTGAAAACACCATGCAAATAAATGTAGGAAGATAAATTTCTCCTGTCCTTCCTTTGCAGGTAATAATTCTCCCTCATACCAACACTGTACCATCATTTACCATGCTATGAGTGTCTTAATCTCAGTGACCTAGCCATAAAAGAAAAATCTCTGGCCAGAAAGAGTTCATATTTTTATAGAGCTCAAAAGGTAAAGTGCTTATATAAGTCAATAAAAACCTTGTGATGTTTTCTTATATTAACTTAAATGTAGAAGCACCTGAATTGCATAACTGTTCCTTTATCAAAGGGTGCTTCTCAAAGGTAATTAACCATGTCTCACTTTATTTTTTATTTTTTCAGCTCACAGAATAGGCATTTATTGCTTTTTGCAGGTACATCAGTAAATGTGCTTCAATTGTTACCAATTTTTGCAATAGAATAACCTTACATCTTAGGGAGTGGTAGAAAAAATGGGATGAAAGCTGAGTTTATGAAGTATACTTCTGCAGTTGAGCAATACCAAATCCAGTATTGTTTTGTTGTTCATATATTATTATGGTTGATACATTGTGTCAACTTAAGAGGTCTAGAAGCTTAACTAAGTAAATTCAGTCGTCCTGTATCCTGGGATCTGCCCTTACTGCTGTAAGGTATAGTAATTCAGCACAGGGCGGGTCTCCCCACTTTATGAACATCCTCAGCCACTGCAAGAGGAGGACACGGGGAGATGGTATGGGCATGGGCAGGCAGCCATATACAATATAAGAGAGGAAAAGAGGCGTGTTCTCTCCCTGGTGCTCTTACTGCTTTTGCTGTCTTCTTCCACCTTGGACTGTTGGCCCTGTGCCATGCCACCCTGTGTTGGAGTCAGCTAATTATGGAATGAAATCTTCACAAAATGAGCTAAATAAACCTTTCCTTCATTAATTTTGGGTGTCAGGCATTTTGTCTCAATAAGGAGAGAAAATAACGAAGACAGGAGGATTTTGAAACAATCTTGCTAGGTAATCTAGGTTGAACTTGAACTCACTAAATAGCCCAGGCTGACCTGGACGTCATAGTGATCCTCTTGCCTCAGTTTATCAAGTGTTCAGATTATACGCAAGTGTCACCACATCTGGTTGGGTTTTTTTTGTTTTGTTTTGGTTTTGGTTTTTTGGGTTTTTTTGCTGTTATTTTCTTTTTTTCCATAATTTTATTGAGAAACAAATAGCAATGAGACAGTTTCAAACCAAATTGGTAGGACAGTTTCAATAATTAACACATTGCATACATTCTTCCTAGTTGTTAATTGCTGTACAAGATGCAGACATGATATCCTATTTACAAACACTATTAGAACAAATCCCTCTATTCATTAAGAGAATGTAACTATATATCTATCCTAATCATTTTGAATATACAGATACAAAATGGACATTCATTTTCATCCCCCTTTTTGTTAAATTCTGTTATTTGAATATTATAGGTGTGTAAACTCAGCAAAATATTCTAAAGGAGTCCAGTACCCCAAAATAGTACTGGGTCTTCTGCTTGACTAGCAATGTCAGAAATTGTTGACCTGAGTCCCCTACAGTTCAACATAATAGCATGGCTTTACTTCTTATATTTTGTTTTTATACCTTTCTGCTGGATGGTTATGACCAAGGTAAAGCGGACCTATGCAACAAGAGTTGTAGCTTTTGGGTCTGATAAGGTCAGCTCACTTTATTTTTTAGATGTATGCCTATGGGTGCATTTAGAAGAATACACCTGTAAAGTTTAGAAGTCAGAGAAACAGATTTTTTTTGTTTTAAAATCAATAAAAATGCAATCTAATTTCATTTTAGCACATTAACATTAGCAAGTCTTTTGCAGTTAGAATTCAGCAAAGAGGTAAGATTCATGAAAAACAATCCCAATAGATAACTTCATTAATTTTCTTACTAGAATTGAGGTGAAAAATATGCCATGTATATGTAATAAATGATAAACTTGTTTCCTTGCTCTTATCAATTTTAAATGCCAGTATCAGTATAAGTAGTTATATAATATAACCTCCAAACACAATATGTCTGGTATGTAAAACTTTGAAAACATGTATATATTTCAGTCTCCATACCATTTACACTCCCATAAAATTTAAACTATATCTAATGGACAGTTCTGCTTAAATACCTTTGAACATCTGTATTATCAGTGTTACTTCAGAATTATTTCAGATAAGCTGGTGTCAGTAAAACTTAACACCTTAAAACTCTAGGCAGGATCTCGTCCAAAAAGGAAGTAACCTAGAACACTTCTACTGAGACAGAGCAGTGCTTGACTGTCTGTGCTGACTGGAGGAGGGTGTGTCTGGAAGGTATATCCCTTGTCTCTGCACACCAATGGGCTGGGACAGCTTGCTTCAGTGTCCCCCAGCTACGTAGTGATGTCTCCTTTGGCTAGCAGTTTCCTTCCTAGCTACCTACCACTGTCCTCCCTGGCTATCAAACAAACACCATCCTGCATTCCATGAGTTCAGCCAGGCAGCATGGTGTCCTCCTCTAGTCAACCACTTTAGAGGATACTGTTGCATTTTGGAGGGGGCACTTTGAACCTGTTACTTACATACCTAGTATTTATAGCAAACTTTCAGTCCTCACCCTCATTGAAATAGGCCTACAGCATCTATATAAGCA